CTGCTTGCGAGCGCACCAAGTCCCCACGGCGGGGCACGCCCAGAGCAGCTCCGGACATGAAAAAAGGACATCAGAGGAGGCCAGAGAACGTGTTGTACAGATTTACGGAGGAAAGCCGGGACCACGTCTACGAGCTCTATCTTTGCAGAATACGAGGAGGGCATGAATTGTGCTTCGCTGCAGTCACCTGGAGGGCACTGGAAGACCAGAAGGGCTTGTATGACACCAGGACTAATTTCACAAGCAGAGCAACCCGCTGCTATGCTCAAGTTGGCTGCACAAGTTCCTGCCAGCTCTAGGGGAAACGCTGCCTTCTGCTTTGGCTGAGAGAAATGCCACCCCTGCTTCTCTTCCTCCTCTTTAAATGGTCACGGGCGTGGGTTTTGCGCTCCTTTCCCACCTCTGGGCGTCGGGGGGGGGAGCACCCTGCGACTGCGCCTTGTTAAGAGAGAAGTCCCCAGTTATGGCTATAGGGCACAGCAGATTGTGCGTGACTTCTACCTGTGTTACACGCAATGCCTCGGCGTCTACCTGTTAGCTAACCGCATGGTAACACAGCAACTCATCTGTCACCGGGAAAAGCTCTCGCTGACACCTGAGAATGCCTTGAGTGATTGCAGCTCCTGTGAGTGCACTGAGATGCGTCCTTATCTCAGCCCCTAGAAAGCAGCCCCCTCCCCTGAACCCACCGGCCTGCCCTAAACCGAATCGCAGCCTTGCTTCTGGTCAAGAACTCATTTTCTAATTAGACATTTAATACTATTTATGCACGGGGGAGGGGCGGGGGGGGGGGGATGGAGAATTGCAATTCCTTTATTGGGCAAAAGAATAGGCTAAAGAGCAGGTCGAGTTCCAATTCCAGCAATCGGTTTAACTGTGGTTCCCTTTTAACAGCTGTAGCTGTGCACAGATGGAAAAACATTTGGTCAGAAAGCAGCAAATTAGTGTTTTCAGGACAGACTCGTGCCTCCCGCAGCTCCACCGGCGTCCACGCAACTCGCTGCGCTTTATTTTATTTCTTCTTGGCGTTGACGTTTTTGCAGACCCAGTTCATGCCGTCCTTCGGACAGAACGCAGACACAGAAAGGCAGCGTTAGTTGGGCGTGGAAAAAAGGGGTCTGGCCACCTACCTACTCCCCCCCCACTCTTGTATCACTGGGCAAACGGCTACTGGGGTCCTCCACGCTCGGCCCCTAAAATGCTTGGTGTCAATTGTTACAGTCTCTTTGGCCGCTGGATGCTGTCCGAGCATGGCTACAGCAGGGCAGGGGTGAGAAGTGTTGGGGTGCGACCCCTTAGAGGAAGGACCGCTAGGCAGTTGAGCTACAGGAGCAGATGAAGGATGTGCAGCTACATAAGGTTTGTGTAACCTCGGGCCAGCGCCCTCATCCTTCTGCATGCCTGTTCCTGAGGAAGGATGGGCAGACCGATGGCCAAGGTGCCAGCTGGGGCATGGGGACCTGGGCTTAACACCTGCTCTGTGACCGCTGGCAGGTCCCTTAGTGCACCTCAGTGTCTGGCCCTACAGCAGAGCTGGCCCCTTGCCCTGCTGAGGTTTTCTGATACGGGGGCTATTGAAGGACCTAGGCTCAATCACTTCCCCGTCTACAGCATGGGAGCAGTAACACTTCTCCATCCTGCAGGCATGGTGGGAGGGCTGGGCGGCCAGGCAAGGAGGGTCCAGGAATAGAGCGCCCTGCTGAAAGGCAGCTGCTGGCCCACTCGCCCTGCAAATAAACCCAGCTATGAGAGCACCTTCTCCTTGGACTCGTGCACTGTCTAAACGGTCACCCAGCTTGCCCCTGTGGGACAGCTGCCTCCAGTGGCGCTGTCCCAGGCAGGGCCCTCTGGATTTCCGGACAAAGCAGATGTGAGCTGGGAGCTGCCGCGAGAGAGCAGAGAACCCCACCCAGAGAGCGTAAGTTGTCTCCCTGGCTTGCTATGCTGTTCGATCTTCCAAACACAGCCCTACGGGCCGTTTAAGCCACCCATTAATCACCCTCCGCTGTCCGGGCGCAGGGTGGGGTTTGAATTCCTGGTCTCTCGCTCCTCGAGCCGGCGCAGAGGGACGGCCCCAAGAGCTGGTGCCTCTTGGCACAAAGCAACAACCCCTCCTTTTGGAGAGTGGAAAAGTGCCGGTCGGCTCTGTGCAGTCTGCTCTGGCCCTCGGCCGGAAAGACGGTAGCCCTTATGTACCTAATGGCTAACGAGCTGAAATAAGAGCAGGAATCCCCTGGGGTTAACAGAGCAGACAGAGGATCCCGCCTGCAAAAAGCAGTGTCCCTGGACAGCTCTTCGGCTGGGGATTAGTCACAAGCCAAACTGACCCTTGTTGCAACGTTATATTAAAAAACCAAGCCAAGCAACCAAGCCACATCAGTTTACAATGAGGACACACGCACACCTCTAATAATATCTCTAAATCTACCCTCCGGCAGGGTCTCTCAATTTGTATTTAGTGCTGCAGCAGGGATCAGCGCAAAACAAATGGCCTGAAATCCTAGGAGCAAAAGCAGGGGGAGGGTGGGAAGTCGTAAGGTAGACTCATTCAAAGGCCCCACAGCTTTTGTGTTCCAGCTTTCCGCCGGCACGGCTAACCTGCGTGTAAAACGCACAATGCTTTCAGTGATCGGTAGTGGGATTTGAAGCTTGGCGCTGTTAGAGAAGGATTCGCTGCGTGGGGGCAGCTGCAGGTTTGCCGTGGGGCTGGAAGGAGCAACGGTGAGGCCCTGGCTCCGTAGCCCTCTCTAGAGATCTGTGCAGTTCGCTTGCAAAGAGGTAAAAAAAAAATAAAAAAGATTCCCGTTTCCCCTGCCTCTGAAGCAATAATCACATTTGCACACATTATGGCATACAAGGCAAGCAGAGCCCCTCATTCATTTTGAATGTGGGTTTATTTGCTGAACGAGAACAGCTGAGACAGCTTAAAGTAATAAATATCAGCTGACACCCTCTGCTATTCAGCGCAGTAATCCCATAAACAATACATCACTGCAAAACAACAAACACGCATCCTATCTCCCAGCTAATCTGACCAGAACCTGAATTTACAGTGATTAAAACTCCGCCCGCTGCCATTAGGGAGCTGGGGAAGGGGAAAGGCAAGCCGTTTTTACTACCGGAGAGGCGAGGGTCATAAAGCAGAGTTTATGATGGGATTTACCATGGCTGGGAGCCTGGCTGCATCAAGCGTATAACGAGGGCGAAAGAATGACAATGCGCTACGAGAGAAGAAAGGTGAACTCCAGATGGGCTTGAGATGCGGAATTGGGTCACCTCACTTTGCAAGCAGGAACGGCTTTAAAACCGTTCTCGGGCATGAGTTAATTCACAAGAAAACCACGTTCGATATCTAGTTGGTTGGCGGTGAGGGGGAGACGACGAAGGGGAGCTGCTAAGAAAAGACAGTGTTAGCGCTGTCAGACATGAGAGCAAAGTAACTGGCTAGTGGCCACCTACGATAAGGGCATCCTTATGCTTCCAAGGCAGCTTCACTGTGGATGGCGTCCTTTAGGCAAGCAGCAGCTGAGCATATTTTGCTGATGGGGAAATACAACGGGAGGGAGAGGTGCAGGACAAGGGTCGGGGCTCGGATCTGTGATGGGCTGCGCTCCATGGAGAAATGCAAGGGGGAGAAGCTCCTCCGTCAGCAGGGGAAGGAGCAGGGTGAGGAGAGGAAAGAGGCAGGTCTAGAAGACGGGGCCGAACCCGCGGCAGGTTTAGCAACGAACGGTGTCCCTGTCTCCGTTTGTCTTTATGCTTTCTTGCCTCGGCATATTTAACAACGGCTCCTTGCGAAACGGACCGTTTGGGTCTGTGCGACTACGCGATACAAAGCATAAATAATAAATGCCCTCGCACTGCTGTGTTCAGAAGCGGCGTGATTTACCGTGAGCGGTTATTTGAAGGATGAGCGTGAGTGTGGCATTAGCATGCCAAGCTCAAGGAGATATTAAGTGTGAACCCTTGGCCAAGAAGAGATTTAGACTCCCTTTTGGATTTGGTTCTCTCTGTTGCTAGAGAGAGTTCGGGTAACCACAGGGTTAACTGAAAACCCAGGATTTCCCCCCTTCTGGACAGCTGAGTTCAAATCCTATATATTGGTCATGAGGGCAAAGGACACTGATGGGAACTGCTGACCGCTGTGTCCGGCGGCTCTGTGCCGAGGACAGAGCAGATGCTGGAATATCGTGGGGTGCCGTGGTGGGAGGCGCGCTGGGAGAGGATGGTGGGCGCTGCTAGAGTAACTGGGGCTGGTGCAGGTTGGGATTAACCAACCCCCACCTGCACCCCACTTGCTTCAAACTCTGTGTTACCTGCTCCCTAGTTTTAACCGCCAAGCCAGACAACTCTGAACACAAGCAGATGGGTCCCTTCCTCCCCATAAAACCCTTCTGATTTAAGCTGCCCTGGTTTAGCTTGTCGTGCAGGCGAGGCGACAAACTTCTGCCCCCCAGTCGTGAAATAAAGGGCAGCGAGGTTTAACCCCTTTACATCATCCTGTATGGGGTCAGAGAATTCAAAACTCTCCATCTCCAGCAGGTTCAGCTTTTATCTGTGAACCCTTCCTTCCTGTCGTCCCCTTGCTGCTTCTGCCATCGCGCTGGCCCTTAAAAGACATCCCAAAGCAAAATGTCCAGACTGCTGCCAGATGGACATCTCCCTTCAGACCCCTGGTGTCCTGTATTTCTGACACAGCTGCAGTGACTCTCCTCCTTGCCTCCAAATGAAATATCACAAGACTCTGCTCCTAATGTCGAGCCACGGCCTCTTACCCCAGCTGCTGGCTGCCTGCTCTCTTACAGTTGCTGTTATCCGAAGACGGACTCGATGCATTTTGAGTTGGCGGCTAACGTGATTAAAACATGGATGATCACTGGTTTGCTAAGCCGCCGTTCAGGCTGGTTAGCTACGTTGTGCTGTTGGGGGGCTGTTTAAGAGCAATGCTGGTCTTGCCCGTGTGACGCGTCCTGGCCATAGCATTCACGTAGCGCCGGCTGCGCCGGTTGAGAGTTCAGGGCAGCTGAGAAAAGGAGGCAGGCAGAGGTGGCTACAAGCCGTCTTTCCACCTCCCATAATCTTTAGGGGCCAATCAAGCTAGAGCTATTTCAGGGCTGCTCTAATTACCTCCTGCTTCATTTTTTCCTGGTGTAGCTTTGATGGGGCAACGTAACACAGGGCATACGATTTTCACCTGCTGTTAGATGCACGGTATCAAAATGCAATCCCCAAGAGTCCAAACCCCAACGAAGGATGGCTGCGAGGCAACAGTTCCCTTGCCCTTCTCTTGTATCTGTCACCAGGATCAATTACTCCCTCAATCTGTGCCTCAGGTCACTTACTCCACAGTGTCTATTATTCTGATTCCGTGGTATGTCGAACCGAACACCGCTGTCCAAACTGCAAGCCTTTACTCCAGACCGCGAGATGGAGTCCAGTCTGCTAGGGACATCTGTTTTTTTTCCTTTCCTAACTAGCTCTGAATTAGGACGTTAGACTGAAGTGTGAGCCTCCTTCAAATTCAGTTGCAGTGCACTGGAGATCCCTCTCTTTCAATATTGCCATAAAGTCTGATTAATTAAACGGATGACAGAGCTACGGCGTGGGGGAGAGGGCGAGGAACTGATGACGCTTGTTCTTCAGAAGAAAAAACAAGCTGTTTTGGGGTTTCAGGAGAATAACACGGGGCACTCCATTCAACCCAGCCATCACTGTTTGGACCTTTCTCAGGAAGTTCTCCGGTCCCAAAAGGTTAATGCTAAAGGATGAGAAGACAAGGTGGATTCCCTCCTTGATTAACATTTTTATTAAATAACCTATTTCAAGTAATAGTTAAATTCTCTAAATTTATATCATTCTATTAACCATAATCTAATCTCATTAACCTTGAAATCCCCAGTCTTAACTACCCAACTCTATACATTATGGCGCTATCAGCTAAACTAATTAAATGACCTTCAAACTATTTCTCCTTCGTTTATTGCCATTATTTATCCTTGCTCGTTGTTCTTCCTTGCAGCCCCTGCAAAACTCGCTCCCTCTAAATTCAGGTCCTGTCTGCACTCTTCGCAGAAGACCATCTCTCTTCTTAACCCAATTCACCGGCCCCATCTGCGCAGTTCACCCCTGGGTGCTGCAGCGTGCTGGCAGCAATGGTTCATGCCCTCGTTCTTTTGCTTTCATTCCAAGGATCTGATGATTCTTGGCTTGTCGCATTCTCATTTACATGCCTACCTACCTCTCTCTCTTTATTTTTCTGTGGCTAAGCTCTGGATTTTCTGAGAGGTTCTTACAGCAGAGGAAGGGGACGGAAAGTACAGCTTGCCTTGGAGCAGTGTTGGGAAGAGGTGGCATGTTCCTGTTCTCTTTTTTTAATCCTGGCCTTTAAACAAGTTATTGTTTAAGGATGTTATGCTCTCTGAGGCTAAACCTGGATGAATGATCTCTTCCTACGCTAACGGTGGAAGAAAATTCTCGCCATAGTTTTGCCACAGCCCGAAATATCACTGATCAGAAAGTTTCCTGGCCATGGAAAGAGCTTGGCTGGATGTGATGCAGGCTGGATTGCTGGGAAACTGAAGTGCTTGGGCTCATTTGCAAGGGGAGTGGTTATCTGCTCAAGGAGCTACAAGCAGTTTCTGCTTTGCCAGCCCCTGCCGGACAAACACTGCTGTAATAAACCACCATCTTTTAGGGTAAGAGCAGATGGGGGTGACGAAGTGGAATGCTATTTGACTTTGATGACGGCGATGAACAAAACGCCTCAGTCTGCAGATACTTAATGCCTTGGCTGCTGTCCTCTGCTATCTGGGAAGAAGCATGGGATTAGATTTTACTTTGAGGCTAGATTGTGTTAGACGGGGGCGTTTGCTGTGTTAGTTAGATACAGATGCATTGCTTGTGAACTGGAAAGCCTGAGAAACAGCACACAGTGCGGAAGCAGGCAGGCGATTCTGGATTGGATTGGGAGGGAAACATTTCTCAACTGAGGCTTCAAGATGAAACTCCTAATTTTGGAGCACTTTGTCCTCTCCCCTCCTCGTGCATTCCTTGCCTGTTATTTCCCAGATGAGGGGGGGTGTGCAAGGAGAAAGGAAGACTGACTTGGAACAGTATAAAGTGGGCATAAGCCAGGGGAACGGGAGGAGGTGACCAAAGATCCATTTAAACATCTGAAATACAAGCCCACGTTCCTTTTTTGCGCCTTGTTCCTTCAAGAGTAGCTCATGCTTGAATAACAGGCATTGAAAGGCACAAAATCATCACCCTACCTATGGTGATAGTGTGATGTTATGCTGTCCTGGAACAGCACTGCTTCACAATAAAGATTTCAGGCCTGCAATGTTTCACTAGGTTGGTTGCAAAGGTGGCTGAATTTCTAACTTAGCCGAACAAACCCCAGCCCTCAGAAGGGCACTGTCCAGTCTATGCCGCAGAAACAAGCTTTTACCGAACGTGAGATGAAGACCAGTATTTTCCTGAGTCTGTTTCTTTTGGAAAAGGAAGGTTGTGTTCTGTTGGGGGCAAGCATCCTCCAGAGCGCTTGGGTCATGACACTGCAAGTATTTTGCTAAGGCACAAAGCCTCGAGAGTGCAACTGAATTGGCGCAGGTCCTGTTTGCAGTGCAAGCTACTGTGTGGCAGGACCGGGGAGGTGGTTATAGCACCCAACTTGATTAAAAACGCAATTCAGCCTTGATTCCTGAATGCGACGCAGCCTTGTCAACAGTTTCAGCCGTGTCGTGCTGCTTTTACCTGCGTGGTACCTGCTACCTGGTAGCACTTGCACTGTAGACTGGGCCAGAGAAACCACCTGGGTTCTCTTCATTAACCCCCTACAGACAGACGGTAAGGCACAAGGGAAGATCCAGCCCGCCCTGTCCCCTCACCTGCACTCCCTCTCCTGTGAGGGCCGAACACGATTGGATCTGCCAGACTCTGTCGCGGATTGTGTGCAGGTTCAGTCCCTCGGCGATCTCGGAGGCAGGGGCAGCCGTGAGCAAATCCTGCTTGTTAGCGAAGATGAGCACGGGGACTCCGCTGAGCTTTTCCTCATCCAAGAGCTCAGCCAGCTCCTGTATCATTTAAAAGGGAGTTAGGGGGAAGGGAGATGAAAAAAAAACCAAACCCTTCCACCACCAGAGGTTGTCTCTAATTAGAATTATATTTAGGGCAAATGTTGGAAGGCAGCCTTTCAGCAAAGCCCAGATCTCCTTACCAAATAGCAAGAGTGTCTGCAATCACAGGGGCCCGAGGTCCACAAGCAAGTTCTTTCAATTACAGGTTACGAAAGGCTTCAGCTTAGTCTGAAATTAGCTGCCGGTTTACAGGCTAAAACTCTGTGCTTTGCCAATCCCTGCTCCCTGGAGACCAAGACTGATGATGCAGCAAAAACCCCATGTAAATTGGCTGTCTCCAAGAGTCTGCCTGGTGTTAGTCTGACTCATGTCCTAGAAACCAGGTGGTTCTCGCCCTAATAGATTTATGATGATGCTAGTAACGAGCTTTGGTTTTTGTCCCAAGTTTTCTGAACTGCGATTCAAATCGGGAAACTCTGCTTCAGATGTAAGAATCTCCCTTCCAAAAGGAAGCTGATACCTATTAAAGGAAGGGAATAGCTGCAGGCCAGGCCGGGAGCGGTTTTATTGGCCAGACTGTAGTCCTACGTGCATGGCACAATGTTGCGTGGGATCTTAGGGTTGACTGGCTCGCAGCTGAAAACAGTCTGCTGCTCCTAGGGCAGGGTCTGGATGTACCGTGAATCCACAGCTATTAGACCTGAATGTCTGGAAGCTGGGCAAAAACTTAATCTGAACTCAGAGCAGGCAATCCCATTTCACTTCTTAATAAGCATCTGTCCTTGTGACCAAGCTAACACAGCTGGTGCAACACGCACAGCAGTCTTGATAAAGGAGCTGAGATCTGAATGAATATGATGCAGGATGTATGTCAAGCCTCTGGACCCTGGTAAATTGTTGGGGGGGGACCTACACAGCTGTATAACTTCCCTGAAGTACCTGTCTCATTGCTGGGGCTTTACTTTCCATGGATACTGGCCTGGCATCTTCTACGAACATGTAGTTACTGTGAAACCTTTGGGTTTAATGAATGCAGTAGCAGAGACCATGCTGCATCACAAATCAGATTCTAGCCCACAACAGCAATCTGCTTGCTTGGTTTGGAAACCAGGGCAAAACAGAATCAAGATATAAATAGAGCTGGCTGGGAATTTTTTGACAAAATGTGTTTGTTTCTTTTCTGGCTGAAGAGGCTGATTCATCAAAACTGGAACTGTGTGGGGATGCATCAATTTGGCCAAACTGAGTGAGGGCATACACTGGGGGTACGAGCATCCCACGTTTCAGTTCCTGGCCGGCTTGGCTTAGGCGAGTGCCCTCGCTTTCCTATGCTAGAACTAGTCTTCCTCTCTTTGGCCTGAGGAATAATTATTTATGTGAAATGGAGCAGCTCCAACAGGAGAGACAGAGAGAGAGACTCCCCAGAGCAGCCAAGAGCCGGGTGGAGATGGGAGAGCCAGGTTCAAGCGCTTACTCTGAGCCAGGCACTTAAATCTAAGCCTACCACATCACAGAAAGACGCCTCAACCGCTGGGATCTGGCTATTCTGGGCTGGGCAGTGGGTGAGGTTGGCCTGCCTGTCTCAAGCGATTCAGAGAGGCCTCGGCTGGGTTCTCAATGGAACACAGACAAATTAGGAAACCTCAAAATTGTTCACGCGCTGGAATTCATGTTTCCCAGCCCGCCTCACTTACAGAGTCCTTGCCTTTTTTTTTCAATTGTGTTCCAGAGATGATCGAGTCACTGTGATTGCTTTTAAAACTTTTTAGAGAAGAAAATGAGATTCCTTGAGGTCTTGTTCTGGCAAGGCTCAAAGGCCTTTAAGAGGTGTGGGTTTTCAAAATGTGCTTCCTTTTGTTCATATTCAATTAATTTGAGGGAATAAGACTCCTTATTTCCCTTAGTTCTCACCTACCAAAGTGATCTGTGCTTTGTGTGCCACAGCAAAGCAAGCTGAAGGGAGAGCCCCCCAGGAAATGTAAGTCTTTATCACAAACCACCAAAGCATCTTCCTAACGTGCATAAGGAACATGATAACGTCAAAGAGTTGGACAGAGGTTACGTACCTGACCCGTTTCTTCAAACCTCTTTCTATCTGCGCTGTCGATGACATAGATCTGTAAAGATGCAGGGGAGGGTATTAATTTACAGAAGTGGAAGATTGATGTTGTAGCTGTGATGGTCCAGAAATGATGCGAGGGGCAAGGGCGTTGTTACTTAATTTATAGGAGTAGTATGGCTGGAAGAGCCCTCAAGAGGTAATCTAGTCTGACCCCAACTGAAGGATCATTCTTGACTAAACCAACCTAGGCAAGTATTTGTCTAACCTGCTCTTAAATTTCCAAGGAAGGACACTGCACTACTTCTCTAGGTAATCTGTTCCAATGCTTAACCACCCTCATAGTGATAAAAGTCTAACATCCAATCTGAATTTTCCTTGGAGCAATTTAAGACCATTGCCCCTTGTTCTGTCCTCTGTGGCCAGAGAAAACAGTCTATCACCCTCCTTTTTATAGCTATGCTTCAGGTATTTGAAGACTGTTATCAAATTCACTCCCCGTAGCCCATTCATTCTTCTCTTCTCCAGCATCAATAATCCTAGTTCTTTCAGCCTTCCCACATAAGTCATATTTCTCCAACCTCTAATCATGTTTGCTGCTCTCTGCTAGACTTTGTCCACGTATTTTTGGAAGTGAGATGCCCAAACTGGACACAGTGCTGTAGGTAAGGCCTCGCCAGTGCCAAATAGTGCAGAAGGATCATTTTCCCTTGACTTGCAAGTGACATTTCTATTACTGCAGCCTAGTATGCTATTTATTTTGCAACAAGAACACACTGTTGGTTCACATTCAACTTACAGTCCCCTATAACCTGCAGGTCATTTTCTGTAGTACTGCAGCCTAGCCAGTCCTCCTTCCCCAGTCTGTATTTGTGCATGCGATTGTTCTTTGCACTTGTCCCTGTTGAATTTTATTTGAAGAATTTTTGAAACTTTTTTGGGTTTACTGAGCTCACTCTGAATCCTAACTCTCCAGAGTGCCTGCAACTCCACCCAGCTTGGCGTCATCGTAAATTTGCCAAGTGTGCACCCAATCCTATCTTCCAAATTGTCAATGAAGATATATTAAACAGTACTATACCCAGGACAGGCCCTTAGGGAACCTTGTTTGATACCTCCTCCCAAGTAGACATTGAGCCATTGATGGCTATTTGTACAGCACGATGACCCAACCAGTTACATATCCCCCTCACAGTAGTTTCATCTAGTCTGTATTTCCTTAGCTTACTAATGAGAAGACATCTGGAAAGCATTGAACTATACAGAGCTAGTCTATCAAATGAATCGAAACCAGTTCCAAATAACATTCCTTATGCTTAGAGATGCACACATTTCATGCACTGTGCAACCATCAGCTAATTCTCTCAATAGCTCAAAAAACGAAGGGGAGCTGCATTACAGCTGGGGAGAGCAGGCTGCGACATGCTAGTGTCAGAAAAGGAGCTGGCGGTAGGATCAGGATTCAGATCGTCTTCCACCCCTAAATTCAGCCCAGGAAAACATGCTGCCTCCTGGCAGCCAGGTCTCCACCTTCAGATGATCCACCACAACAAAGGGAGTGGCTGTCAGATGAAGGACTAACTGTCATGGGGGTTGCATGCCTTTCCAGGGCAGGGCAGGGCTGGGGCACTTCAGCAAGGAACAGCAGAAGTGAAGTTTGCACTGCTACTGCCTGGGTGCATCTATGCACGTGCATTTACTACCCACTAACCGAAATTACTGTGCAGTATGGGCACGTCTACACACGCGCGCCCATACTGTACGGTAAATATGGTGACGTACGCCGATTTGAGCATAAAGTTGATACCTGCACCACGCAAGTATCAACTTTATTCCCAATTAGTAACTGCACAATAATGCATGTGTAGTTGTCTTACTGCACAGTAACCCTGTGGGTGTGGACTGACTTGTGACGAGCTTTAGTCCCAAATCAGTCCACACAAAGCGTTAATGCACTTTAATGCCCGCACGTGTAGATGCCGGCCTATTCCCACTTACTGCACAGTAAATTTAAACCAGCGTAAATGCACGTGTGGAAACGCCCTCCTGTGTTGTACCTGTTTTTTTGGACAAGGTTGATCAATTCAGCACCTTTCTCTAGCACTGAATTTGCCGATTTCTTTCCTGGAAAAACTCAGAGCTTGGTATGGAAATCCCTGGGTGCAGGTAAAGCGGCAGTACCAGAGAAGGATGAAATTTGCTGGATATTCATTTAGTACAGACAGCTCCTCCCCTCCGTCTGGACTGCGCCGTCTTTATTGCTAATGCACTTAAAGCTGCAGAATCATTTTAAATAATCAGGAGGGTTCAATAAAGGTGGAGCCTCTGGGTTTGCCTGCTGTATAATGCAGGAGGGATTATGCTGACTCAAATCAATGTGATCCAATCATGGGCACACTAGAGAAAGCTGAAAGACTCACAGTTCATGGGTAGGTAGGTAGGTGAATAAATGATGATAGGCCTATCCCAGTGTAATTTATATGGTTTGTATGCACAACCCTGTAAATGATGCTGAGATCAGGTACAGAGGCGTGTGTGGTTATCCTGGGGTAGCAGCACATCATGGGCAGCTATTATGGTATCTTCTGTTTTTTGGCAAAGAAGCAAACAGCTTATCCTGGCATGGAAGTGGAGATGCAACACCTACACCAGTGTAACTGATATCAATGGACTTTTACCCTGGTCCCTTCAGGAGCAAAGCTACCCTGGTTTAGGAGTTGATGCCATCTGCTCTCTCCATTTTTTAAACAGGTTGAATGCCACCAGTAAAATTGCGTTGTCTGTCCATACCCTGAAAGACAGGGAAGCAGGGGAGAGGGCGTGTGGGCTGGCTGGCTGAGGAGACCTGCAGTGTTTCCCAGTCAGTAATGACTGGAAATTGCTAGGATGTTATTTGACAGCTGTGCGGTGGCTTCCGTGGAAGGAGGCTGGTTTCCAGGGAATAGATGCCCACAGCACCCAACCACTTGCAAGATAAATGGCATTCCTGCTGGCAGTCTCGGCCGGAGACTCGGCCCTTCCAGGCTAATCTAGACAGAACAGTGAAAAAAGGGAACTCTGAACAGCAGTGTTTATTAAAGGTTGGAACGGCCTTCTTGTGCAGACATTTTCTCTCGCCTGCAATGACTCAAACAGGGGGCTGCAGCACCCGGGGGTGCCCTAAGAACTGCCATTTACTGGGTCAGGCCGTGGGTCCATCTTACCCAGCCCCTTGTGTCCCACAGTGGCAAAGAGTGGATGCGGAAAGGGAGAGTAACCTGGGTCTGACCGCAGTTGTTTTCTCCACTGTTCCTCTCTCACTTGCTTCCTCCAGCATTTAAGGTTAAGTTTACAGAGGCTGTATCCCTCCCTTCATGCTTAATCGCTACTGATGCCCCTTTCGTCCAAGAACGTGTCCAATCCCTTGTGAATCTGGCTGAACACTCAGCTTGCAGCACAGCTGGTGGCAATAAGCTCCACCCTTGAATGCCACGCTGAATGAAAAAGCATGTCCTGGTGTTGGTTTCAAACTTACTGCCTCCTACTTTCACGTTGTGACCCCTATTTCTTGTCTGGTGATAGAGAGTAAAGAATAAATCCCTACTGACTTTCTCTTCACCACTGAGTATTTTGCAAACCCTTCTCATGTTCCCCTTCAAGTGTCTCTTTGCTAAACTGAACATTGGACTCATCAGTCTCTCCTTATGTGGAAGCCCCTCCATAGCCCTCATCATCCTTGCTGCCCTTCTCTGGACCTTCTCTAGTTCTTGAGATCCTTTTAAGGGTGCCGTGCAATGTAGCACTGTTAGGTGTGTAAACCTGATTCTCACGATAAACCAGCAAGATTGCAAATAGAAATCTGTAGCGTTAAAAACACTCTGTCCAGTTGTGGTCTTTCTGAGTTCTTTGCAGAACTGCTCTATTTATTATTTTTCTATAGTCAAAAACAAGTCAAAACTAAGAGCTGGCGTTTTCTAAGGGATGGCTCGAGTCTAAAAGCTTGAGAACCGCTGCTTTACTGCCTCAGGTTTCCAGGTCCTTCTGTGACAGGGATACTGCATGTTGGTAAGGGATGGTGTAAGCTAGGGATGGTCGATCCGTGGCACAAGCGGCATGTGTGCAGCACATGACAGATCAGGGAGGGAGCAAAAAGGCAGACAGGGCAGGAAGCAGAAGGCAGAGCAGGAGATAAGGCAGGGAGCACAGACTAAGGAACAGGAAGCACAGCAGTAGATAAGGCAGGGGAAGGAGATAGGCATGGCACTCGGGGAGGGTGCAGGGCTAATCTGTGGCACGCCTGCCAAACAGGATGCCCCTGCATTGGCGTAAGTGCACTTGCCCAGAAGTGGAAGAGCTGAGCTTTGGTGTCGTTAAGACAAGAAGCGGAAATGACTAGAATCCAGAACAGGACGTCATCTCCCGAGGTTCGATTTGGCCAAGCCAAAATGCACCAGCAAAACCTGCCTTTGGCTGTTTAGTGACATGTAGTGAACTAAGCTTTGCTGCTCACCCAGGCCCAGCACCAGCACAGCCCCTCTCGCCACGCTGGGGCATCGCAGGAACCTAGTCACCTGATCCAACCCCTTGCATGAATGCAAGATGCTGCCTAAATCATCCCTGTTCAGACACCTCCAACGAAGAGGACTGCCCCACTTCCCTGGGGGTCTATTCTACTGCCTCACTGCTCTGACAGGAAGGAAATTATTCCTGAGATCTAATCCTAAGCCTGCTTGGCTGCAGTTTACAGCTGTTGTTTCATGTTGCCTTCTGCAGCAGCGGAGAACAGTTGTTCAGGGCTCAGAAGGAAGAATGCCCCTTGCTGAATCACCGGGCCTTTCTCCCACAGCTCCCCCAAGCCCAGCTGCAGAGATCTGACCAGATTAATGTCTGACACAGCAGTGCTGCAGGCAAACGCCATGTTGTGTAGCACGAGGCGAAGGCAGCAAGCACATGCAGAGTGCTTTCTTCCCACACAGACAACAACGAGCCAAAGAGCTGCAGGTGCATGCCTGAATGCGCAATCACCCAGATACACACACCTTATTTGCACTGGGGAGGCTTCCAAGTGCCCAGGTGTGTGGCACGGAGTGAGCTCCCATTCAAACACACCTGCACTGACTGAAGGGCGCAATCACTTCGGGCTTTATAAAGGCTTTTGGAGGACCCTCCCCCTCGGTCAGGATGGAGCTGGGGCAGGTCTCCTGGGAACAGCACCTCATCTCGCCTCCGTACTCCCTGGCTCCTGTAATGGAGGATGTGGACTCTGCAGCACAAGTCTGCAGTTTAAATCAGCAATGTAGGGGCTGTATCTGCACAGCTGAGAATGGCATTTTCCCTGCATTTTTAGGTGCTCTTCTAAAGGAGAGGGCTCAAATCCAGGGCTGGAGCAAGGGGGCTACACCCTCCCTGCTGATGGCAGATGTGGGTGTTGGTGATGACGATGTGCCATGCACAAAGTCCTGCTCAGCGGAGGGTCTCCCAGGTAAACCCCTGAGCAGGTGACTGGGAGGAAGCTGCGTGCATTCATTTTATGCCTTCCCCCAGCCATGTTTGTGCGGGGCACCTCCTTGGTCTGGGAGTGACACCGCTGCTCAGTCTGCAGTGTGTGACACAGTGCCCACTGCGACACTGCTGCTACACCCGATGTCAAACTCCCACCAGCCACTTCCCCGCTGCCCATTCCTGTGCTACCCCTGCCAAAGGCCTTGTACTGTTCTGGTTGAGGAAGACAGGGTCCCCCTCTCCCTTCCCTTGTAGGAAGAGTGGGTGTTAAGCCACTGCTACAAGGCTGACAGAAGAAAACCAGAGGATTTGAAGGGCTGTGACTTGGCCTTGGCAGCCTTGCCTTTGCAGTGCATTCATTGCCTCTTGCAGACATTGAGTGTTGGCTGTAGCCAGCAAGGGCTCCTCACTGCTGCTTTGCATGGCTGACTTATGCACTTGCTCTCCACATGCAGAACCACAGCTGAGCCCTGCGTGATCGTATTGCACCAAGGCTGTGTTCTGTGCCCCCGCTGCCTTGGTGGGAGGAGGCTACCTATGTTGGTTCAAACCCTTCACTGCAGAAGGGACCCCCTTTTCCATCAGCTTTATGTGGGCAGGTCTCTCTCCCCTTGTCACCTCTCTTGTGTGGTTTTTCTTCAGGAAGGCAAGTGGCTGAGACTCTGCTGTGGTCATGTAACATAGCACCCTGCCTTTCCTATACTGCCTCCTCAGCTTAACCCCAACCCCCCACCCCGTGTTTAAAACATGAATCATCTAATGCAGAGAAACCTTTGTATTGGAACGCTGACTGCCGTGTCCCCCGTGCATTACACAGATGCTGAGGCGTGCAGCTCTTTAGCGTGTTACGCTGAAAGATGGTGTAGTTCAGCAGTTCCAGTGCAGCAGAGAGAAATAAGGTTGCAGGGTCTCTTTCTAACCACACTGTTGGCTTTGTATTTTGTACTACAGTAGCCCCTAGAAGTCCCAATTGCTGACTGTGATCTCTAGACACTGTATGACCACAGAATAAATCGATGTTCCCGAAGAGCTTAGATTGATGCAAGGCATGCTGTGTGTACACTGGCAGGCTGCTTTCCACCTCTCTGCTTCAGTTTTCCCACGTGGAAAATGGTGATGAAAGCAATGACCTAGCATTCAGGTGAATTTATTTCTCCAGCATGAGCTGAGCCCTCACCAATGACCTCTAGACAGACCAATGGAACAAACAGTGCCAGACAATAGAAAAATACAAGATGGCCAAGGCCTGCATTTGCAGATTGTCCTCTAGAGCATCTCAGCTCATCTCAAGTGCCAGGCTGGTGTGTTACAGAGCCAGAAATTACAGCCAGAAATGCTAGGCCATTGATAAATGACAGGTGTTAAGAGCTGTATGCTCTCTGCTAGAGCCCTCTCCCCTCCCCACTTCACCTGCCTCACTACCATCTGGTTTTAGCCAGATCTCAAACAGCTCTCTGCCCCTAACTCAAACAGGTGAGAGGGGCTCATCTCTTGATCTGGGTGGAGTGACAACAGGGGCAGAGCTGACGCTTAATGATTGGAAAGCAAATCAGTACCTCATATAAAGGACTGGTGAACAGACTGATTCTTGTATACACTCAGGAAAAGTTATTCAGATTAACTTTTAATGTGACTTAAGTCAATCAGCCTGTATTCCAGCCATGTGTGGATATGCTTATTCAGAATTAAAGTTGTTTAATCCAAGTTATTTTATTTCACTTTGGAAGATGGAATTCAAGCTGACTCTGAAAATCTGTCCACACGGGGGTTTAATGCCGTTTAAACTAATCCACTTTTAAGTACAGCCTTTAATTAACTGGGATCCACTTTCCTGAGTGTCCCTCTATAGATGATCATTAGCAAGGATCCTGGTTTTTCTCTGATTAAAAAAAATCCCCAATTTTCATCTTAAAAAAATAACCCAAAATCCACATTTTTCCATTATTAAAATAAAACACTATAGCTAGATAGATAGATATAGTGGTGTTTCATTTTGATCATGGAAAAAATGTGGATTTGGGGTTTTTTTAATCCAAAAATTGAGGATTTTTTTAAAATCGAAGAAAACCAAGATCCCTGATCATTATGGATCAAAAAGGCTGTTAGATTTCCTAGCCTTGCTGGACTTCCCATTTCCCTTCCTGGCTGAATCACACTTGGGGGGCGTGATGTGTGGAGTCTTGCTTGCTGTTCCCAGGTCACAGAGAACAGAGGGTGTTTGTTTTTTCTTGTGCATCCAGGCTTTGCAGGTTACTACATGGGGCCAAGAAGGAAGATATTCACTTTGCGTTGCTACAGGTGTCAGCATTTGGTTTTGCCTTCCTCAGAAATATTAGGTGCTGGCTGCAGCCAGGCTGGGGATTTTTGACTGGGTTGTGCCAATGCTCCTGCTGGGACCAAGGCCGGAGGTTCCAGGCTAGAGGGTCTTGCCCCTCTGCTTGGGGTCAGACCAATCACTACCCTTGGGATCAGGAAGAAATTTTATCCCACAGTTAGATCTACATGGACTGGCGTGGGGTTTGCACCCTGCTCTGCAGCAGTGGTGGCATGATCCTCTTCCTTGGATTGCTTGAGCATATTTTAACTCCTCCTTGTCCTTGCAGAGACAGCACACCGACAGTGCCCTTGTTCCCCTGCTTTACCTATAGTAAGTTAAGGTGATATCTGTAGCATTATGCCTGATAGTGGGTGGCTGGTGAAGTTTTTAACTCGGTGACTCTCAAGCAGGTTGTTAAGGTTCCCTGCGGTGCAGTGAGATCCTTTTAAACACATTGCAGGATGTAGCTCAATATTAGTGCTAGCAGGTGATATGCGCGGTTCACATGATAAACTCAGAGATTTCAAATAGGAACCCAGAGTGTCAAAACCATTCTGACCTGGTGTGATCCTTCTCAGTTCTTTGCTACAGAGGAATTGCTCTCTCATTTTTCCGTAGTCAAAAATGAAATGAAAGCTAAGAGCTGGCATTTTCTGGGGGGGAGGGGGGCACGGCTCTGTGTCCAACGGGTCTGAGAAACCCTGGGTTAGAAAAACACTTGTCTAAGATTGGTTTAGAAAGGGATGATCTTGTCTTGAAATTCAGGTGTGACCTTCTGAGGCTCCATCCAGCCCTCATTTTCTATGATTCTAGGATCCCTTCTATCGGGGTAAGTTAAAGGGGCAAGCAGGTCAATGTGTGTGGATCTTTTAAATGAGGTTTCAAGATCAGAGGTCCCCACTGATCTGGATGGACCTCAAAGAACCTCTGTTCAAATGGGAGGTTTGCCGCAGTGCCCTTGCTCAGGATTTTTCCCCCTTCCTTCTTACGCAGACTCCTGCACAGCTGTTGCCTCTGTTCAGAAGCAGCTGCATTTTGGAGGCGCTATTTAACTTTACCTATACAGCACTTTGAGACTGTGCCATCCGCTCTAAGTGTAACAACCCTCCATTACAATTAAGCATTTAGCTGAGACTCTTTACAAGCATCAATCTGTAAAGGAACATAAGTCGTACAATAGAAGCACTCACTTGGGAGAGATGAACTCCCCTCCTGCATGCTTTCCTGTCAGACCTTGGACAAGTCATTCAACTTTTCTGTGCCTCAGTGCCCCCACCCCCCAGGACTGTAAAATGACCTACCTCACTGTGGGAGGCTGAGTTCATTAGCAGCTGTAACATGCCTTGAAATTCCCCAATGGGAAGCACTACAGATGTGAACTAGTACGTGTTGGGAAACAATATGCTATTTTAATGAGACTGGCACAAGAAGTGTGGGTGTGGGTCCAGTGCACTGTGCTGCAGATGTTATGAATAAGCAGAGATCTTTCTGCAAATGCCCCCCTCTCCCTTCCCCGCCGCTTGTTGAACTGTTCCGAACGATTCATGTAAGACCCGCAATGGTGCTGCTGCCCGACTTTCTGGCTGACAACGTGGAAAGCCCGTATGTTCATGTAGCACTCAGTCGTGGTTAATACTCACAAGGACATCAGTGTTTTCAAAATAGTTCCTCCAGTACGGCCGGATCTTCCTTTGTCCGCCTATGTCCCAGACGTTCAGCTTGAAGCCTTGGGACTGTACGCTTTTAATGTTAAAGCCCTGCAAGAGAAGCCATGGGCAGCATTACCCTGGATCTTGGGATTGTGTTCAGGAGAGTATGGCTTTTAACACCGTTATCACGGTGCAGGAAAGAGGCACAAGATGGGCCTGGGCTGCTATTCAGCTGCAGAAGAGGTGAGAGGGAGAGCAAACGAGATTCTCGTGCATGTCTGCGTGCATACATTCTGGGATCAGGGGCTGACATCGTCATGGCTACAAAGATGAATGTTGCAGTGGGGGCCTCTGGAGGGTTCAGGAGGGTGGGTGCAGGAAGAGGTGAGAGAGGGAGATGTGAGATAAGGAGGAAAACAGAGGGCGCACTGAGAAGCAGCATGCAGCGCAGTCTCACGCAGAGCCAGAGGTCGGAGGCTTAGTCGACACCAGGCAGCGACGCACTGAGCTTAAAAGAGCAACAGCTGCGCGGCTGAAGGGTCCGTTTCATCAATTAACGCTGCGACTGAAAGGGCGTTCAACTGGAAAAACAGGATGTGGTGTGGGCTGGCAACGTGCTGCCACCCGGCCTGGGGGAGCGGGGCTTGGAATCTGAGCGTGGGCTTTTCGCTCTGGGGTGCCGGGGGCTGGGAGTGTCAGGGGGGCGGGGAGGGGAGAGGAGTGTCTCGTGCAGCTCTCGAGCAGCCTCCGCTGGCCAGCTTGGGCGCCGTGCTGGTGGTATGTGCGACTGCTGCTCCAGTGGGGAGGCTAAAAGCAGGGCAGTTCGTAGCAACAAGGATGGAGGGGCAAGTTCCTGGGACTCCCTGGGGGAAAGGGGTGAGGGACAACTGGCCAGAAGTTGTGACATGTCCCATCAGCTGCTTGTGTTTTTATGAAGACCAACAGGGCCAGACTCTGATCTGTGTTACACCAGGGCCAGAGCAACTCTGCAGGCATCTAGGGTGCTTGTCCTGTGTATTTGATTCCAGAACCAAGCCCAAAGCTTGTGTCCCTGATGGTGACCGTGGGCTGTACCCATCATCCTGCTGACATCCTGCTATAAATGCTGGAGTGAGCTGCATCTATCTCGACATCTAATCCAGCCCCCACATTCAGCCCATAGCATTTCCCCGGTGCAACTTTTCTTTGCCCATTTAATATGGTGCGTAGGACAGAGCAAGGTGGAGGAGCAGCCTCCCATCTGGGCAGGGCCTGTCTTACCTGTGTCGGTGTGATGTGGCTGATGTCTTCGGACGCCAGCTGTTTCAGAAGCGTGGTCTTGCCGGCATTGTCCAGCCCCAGGAGAAGGATCCTCACCTCCTGGTCTGGCGCGCTCTTCAGTTTGCGCAGGATTGACAGTAAACCCTATGGCAGACAGAAAGACCACGGGTGTTAATGCTGTGTTAAGATGCCCTCCCACTGGTCCCCAAGTCTGGGCTGGGCCCGAGTCTGGGCTACGACCCAAAGCCTGCCGCATCCTTTCATCCCTCTGTTCCCCCTGTTCTAGTCTCTTCCTGCATCTCCATCACATGCAGTGTGGGGAGCAGCCTGGGCTACCTGGGCTTTCCCAGGGCTGTGTTGTTCCAGTCCAATAGCCCACTCGCAGGGTCAGAGAGTCAGTGTCCCTGGGATGCAGTACACTAAACCCAGCACGGGTTTGTTGCGGGTAGGTCTTGCTTGACCAATCTCATTTCCTTCTACGACCAGGTGACCTATCACCTGGACAAGGGAGAAGAGATTGATGTCGTATATCTTGACTTCAAAAAAGCCTTCGATCTGGTGTCCCATGATCGCCTCTTGGAGAAACTGGCCAATTGTCGCCTTGGGTCCTCCACAATCCACTGGCTGGAAAATTGGCTCCGGGGTCGGACCCAGAGGGTAGTAATCGATGGAAGTCACTCGTCGTGGTGTCCTGTGACCAGGGGGGTCCCCCAAGGCTCTGTCCTTGGACCCATACTGTTCAACATCTTCATTAACGATGTGGACACTGGAGTCAGAAGCGGACTGGCCAAGTTCGCCGATGACACCAAACTTTGGGGCAAAGCATCCACACCAGAAGACAGGCAGGTTATCCAGGCTGACCTGGACAGGCTCAGCAAGTGGGCGGACAAGAATCTGATGGTGTTCAACGCCGATAAATGCAAGGTTCTCCACCTTGGGGAAAAAAAACCCGCAGCATCCTTATAGGCTCGGCAGTGCTATGTTGGCTAGCACTACGGAAGAAAGAGACTTGGGGGTCATCATTGACCACAAGATGAACATGAGCCTGCAATGCGATGCGGCGGCTAGTAAAGCGACCAAAACGCTGGCTTGCATCCATAGATGCTTCTCAAACAAATCCCGGGACGTCGTTCTCCCCTTGTACTCGGCCTTAGTGAGGCCGCAGCTGGAGTGCTGTGTCCAGTTTTGGGCTCCACAATTCAAAAAGGATGTGGAGAAGCTTGAGAGAGTCCAGAGAAGAGCCACGCGCACGATCAGAGGTCAGGGACGCAGACCCTACGATGACAGGCTGAGAGCCCTGGGGCTCTTTAGCCTGGAAAAGCGCAGGCTCAGGGGTGATCTGATGGCCACCTACAAGTTTATCAGGGGTGACCACCAGCATCTGGGGGAACGTTTGTTCACCAGAGCGCCCCAAGGGATGACGAGGTCGAATGGTCACAAACTACTTCAAGATCGTTTCAGGCTGGACATAAGGAAGAACTTCTTTACTGTCCGAGCCCCCAAGGTCTGGAACAGCCTGCCACCGGAGGTGGTTCAAGCGCCTTCATTGAACACCTTCAAGATGAAACTGGATGCTTATCTTGCTGGGATCCTATGACCCCAGCTGACTTCCTGCCCTTTGGGCGGGGGGCTGGACTCAATGATCTTCCGAGGTCCCTTCCAGCCCTAATGTCTATGAAATCTATGAAATCTATAATGACCTGCAGCCAGGCTACCGGGTGATCTGTGCTGTCTTTCCCATCAGCAAAACCCTGTTAATCCAAATCTCCCTCTTAGCTGGCTCTACCTTACTTTGGACCCTGGCATGGTTCCCTTACCAGTAGCCTCTCCCCCACCATCCGATTATCTCCAACCTCATTTATCAGTCTCCTAAGCATGCTGGACAAATGAGATTGGTGCAATTCTGGACACTCAGGACACATTAGCTAATGGCACCCTTTCGATCCCTGAACCCCCTTGACTAGGAAATGCACCGCAGACTCAAGATGCTGACCATATCGGTCAGAGTTCAGGAATGGACTATCTGTGTCGCTCAACCTGCACTGCAAACCACTGGAAAATAAACTGGGCCATGTGCATGGCCCAAAGCAGAGCTCAGACACCTGTGCTGCAAGGAAAGGGCATCAACTGGAAGAGCCTCCTGCGTGCTGCCATGCAATTGTAAATCACTCGTTGCCTTCATTCGGTTCATGGGGTCTGGGGCTAACGCAGCTGCTCCACAGAGGCAATGGAGCCAGTGGACTCTTGAGTCAAGTACTCCACTGCTGACCTCATGAGTAGGGACCTACTTAATTCATGATTTGACGGTTTTTGCGCAGACCATGAAAATCAGTGGTATCCACTGAGAAATATTCCACTGATTGCAATTTCCTGCAAAATCAACTTACCCCCACCCCCCAACCATACAATACGCTGTTTTACAATCTCCCAATCCTTACTGCGATACTTGACAACGCAGCAATCCCTGCAGCCACTCTCATGTGCTTGAAACTCGCTGCCTCTCTGCCAATCTGTGGCGACAGTGGGGCCGCTGGGGAATGCCCGCAAAATTGGGCCTTCATGCCGTGAACAACCCACGAAGATGGCTTCATCTCACCGCGAGTTAAGTAGGCCCCTACTCATGAGTAGCCTCGGGCTAGTCCCATTACCCCTCTCAGCCCAAGGTCCCCTCCTGCCCCATCTCCGACTCCACTGTTTTGGAGTTAAACTCTTCCAGGCAGAGAGAGATGTTTGCTCTGCGTGTGGGGCACCCACCACGGCAGAGCCCAGGGAGAGAGCGTGGCTGATGCCAATACATCCTTTCTGGGGCTTCTGCATTCCCTTCCAAGTCAAGTGGCATCCAGTCCAGCTCTACTGGGCATGTGTTCCCACCAGGAACCACCGCCAGAGCCACCGCTTGGCAGCTGCGCACGACCCAAAGTTCAGACCCCTGAAGAAACCTGGAGTCTGCAACTCAGAGTTCAAATACCAACACTGCCCCAGGCTTCTCCGGTCCCATGGACCTAGACCTCCCCAACAGTACGACAGGGACAAAGCTACTGGTCTACCTCATGATGTGGGGAAGAGGATGACTGAGTTATGAGTTGTAAAGTGCTTTGAGGATGGGAAGAGCTATAAGCTGTAAATATTTTTTACAATGGGGAGTAGTAGATACCCTGGAGGGTAGGGCTAGGATTTGGAGAGACCTTGACAAATTGGAGGACCGGACCAAAAGGAAATCTCATGAGGTTCAATAAGGACAAGTGCAAAGTCCTGCACTGAGGAGGGAGCGATCCCCTGCACCAGTGCAGGCTGCGGGGGACGGGCTGGGCAGCAGCTCTGCAGAAAAGGACCTGGGGGACAGGGGACGTTAAATGAATAGGAGCCAGCAGTGTGCCCTCGGTGCCAAGAAGGCTACCGGCATCGTGGGCTGCATGGGTAGGAGCGCTGCCAGCAGATCGAGGGCAGTGATCCTTCCCTCTATTGAGCACTGGGGAGACCACATCTAGAGTCCTGTGTCCAGCTGTGGCCCCCACGACAAAAAGGATGTGGACACAATGGAGAAAGTCCAGCGGAGGGCAATGAAAATGGTTGTGGGCTGGAGGACAGGACTGGTGAGGAGAGGCCGAGGGAACTGGGCTGATTTAGTCTGCAGAAGAGAAGATGAAGGGGCGATTGAATAGCAGCCTTCACCTCCCTGCGGGTGGGGGCTGCAAAGAGGATGGAGCTGGGCTGTTCTCAGTGGGGGCAGATACAGGATAAGGAGCAATGGGCTCAGGCTGCAGCAAGGGAAGCTTAGCTTGAATATGAGGAAAAACTCTCATGAGGAGGGTAGTAAAATATTAGAACAGGCTACCCAGAGAGGTGGCGGACTCTTCATCCTTGGAGGTGTTTCAGACCCGGGTAGACAAAGCCCTGGCTGGGATGTAGTCGGGGCTGGGCCCGCCTTGGGGCGGGGGGTGGGCTAGAAGGGACTTGGAGCAGGGGGTTGGACTAGATGCGACCTCCTGAGCTCCCTCCCAACCCTCATTTTTTATGTTTCTAAGATTTTCCTTGGAGGTCAAAGGAGAAACGGGCCACAGAGACTGCTCCATGGGGGTTTCCTCCAGACCGGGATGGGGAACACTGCCTGGGGCAACAAGAACTCTGCTTTCCCTGCAGCCCGGTTCTGGGGCTAAAGGGCTTTGAGGTGCAGCAGAACGAACTGTCTAGTGCAAAACCACTCTGCTCTGTCAGGTGGCTGATGCACTGCAGGAGTACAGGCTCCCGGCTACCTCTCTCAGCACACCGCGTCTGAGCACAGCCAACCTCCGCTCCACACAAGGGTGGCATTGATAGACTCGGAGGAAACCGCATGGCACAGATAGCCTTGACTAAACTGCTAATAACGCTGGGAGGACAAAGCTCTGTTTGAACACTTCCTCTAGCCGCTCCTGCTCGGGGAAGTCTGTTACGGTGAATCCATCTCGCCAACGCACAGCCCAAACAACAAACCAACGTCTGCCTGCCTTGGAGCAGGGAGCTTCTTCCAACCAACTTGCTTATAAAACCATCGGTCACAACTCCAGGCTTTTAAAGACTGCTCGTGTGACGGCAGAGCTGAGGAATCCAGCACTTGGGGCTGGAAATGCAATGGCAGGATTGAATCTCACGGTCAGCCCTGCTTGCTTGGGCTTTCGTTCTGCCTGCCTCTATCATCAGTAGCCTGTCAATCTAGCCGAAATGCCTATACCGCTGGTTGTCAAGCTTTTTAGCCTAAAGGCAACCTTCGTCATTTTTTGGGATTGGAGCTGAGAACGACGGAGCTAGAATCTAGCCGGTACCAGGTATGGGCAGTGGGGGCAAGACTTCACCCCACCGTGCCCTGCTTTTTCCACCATCTGCCCCTGGTCTGTATCTAAGGGGACAAGCAGGTCCCCACCAGTACAGCTGCTCCACCAGCGACCTGCATGTCAGCAACCGAAACCACGTGCATCCAAACACTTCCCAACAGCCCTGGGGATGAGAGGAGCTGGGCTAAAATTTCCAGCCAAGTGACCCCATAGCCACCTGCCCGTGCGAATGCCCATGGTGGAGCACGCTGCTGGGGGGAGATGGGAAGCAGCTACAAGTGCACCCTCCAAGGGAGGAATGATTGCTTACCTCCCGGCACAGGGGCCTTCCACCCTTCAACTGGATATGCCAATTGAAAATCATTGACCTAGACCTTCATGATGTTACGTGTTATTATGGTAGTGCCATGAGATACTGCTCAGGAACAGGCTGCTTTTTACTGAGTGCTGTGCAAACAGTGTAAAGCACGGTGGAAGCCCCTAAGAGTTTACTGCTGGAGATGAGCAACGAGAGAGGGCGCGAGATGGAGGCAATCGGACACATACTCCCCTGCTTACTTGCTCAGGTATAAATGCTAGCAGCCTGACATTTTTTAAATATGATTTTTGGGTTTTTTTCTGTGCTAGAATTTACAGTCATGGCACTCAGCTTGTTAATACGCAGCTTGAAATAACGCGTGCATACACCCCAAATTAATAGGCGCCTTGTGACGCACAAATTCTGCTTCTTTTTCCAGGGTCACACGGCTGAACAGAGATGCAGCGAAACTCCCCATTGTTTTATCTTTATGGGCATAATCCAAAACCAGTCCAAGTCAATGAAAGTATTTCCATTGACTTCAGGGGGCTTTGAATCAAGCCCTATTATTTTAGGTTAGTGCTCCCAGTAAAAGGCTGATGAAATGCTAATCCTATTCGCAGCAGTGTTTGCTAAGAGTAGAACAATACATCCCCTGAGCAGATCGGGATTAGAAACCTTTATGACTCTAAATTCAACTACAAAATTCTGAATGCGCAAAGGGCCGTGTTGCAAAGTCTCATTTATCTGCCATTGAACAAGTCTCAGGGGCAGGAAAGAGCAACAGCGGCAGACGTTAGGAGATCCCCTCTTATTACATGATGATGATACTGCAGAGCAAGTACAACTGCCTACAAGGAAACAACCGCTGCTATTCAAGTGACACCCCGGCTGCACGGTTGATCACAGGATTATCTGGGTTAGCCAATAGAAAAGGAGATATTTATAGAAATAAAAGTATTCTCTAAGGTATAAGGTAAGCTGATTTAGAAGGCTGGAAGAAAAGCAAACTGGGATCTAGACACGGACTCTCCTTCAGCAGCTCCGGGGGCATTTGCATTACGCAATTCACGCCTGGAGTTCAAATGCAATCCAGTTTAACTTGAAACACACAATAATTTAGGCTCCTGGTTACACCTGATTCTAGTCATATAGTAGTTTTAATATGTAGCAAAAGCCTCACTCTGTAAAACCAGCAGGGTGTTTTCTCTCGTTTTAAATTTGGCCTTATAAACATCCAAGCAGGTGAGCGACGAAGGCATTAATTGCTCCTTGATGGCTTAGCAAACTAGAGAAGTAACTCAATTAATTTCCTGGCTGCGTGGCTGCGCTATACAATGCATGGCAACCTGTACTACACACATGCTGAGGGACTGATCTTTTTTTTCTTTTTTTTTTACTGGCAAACAAAACATTTTAAATTCACTTTTGAATGGGAAAGCCATAAACGTGGGCAGTAAAGAGTAGGGTTACACATATTCCAGAGGAGAGGGCAAGATCACAGGTACTGCAGAACAAACCTCCTGGGAAGGATTATTTATTCATTCCCTATATTACTGCAGTGCCCAGAGCCCTAGTCGCAGACCCCGCTGCATTGACACGGTGCAAATGCAGAGCTTACAGTTATAGTTCAAGGCTTTGTCTATGTTACAAAGCTGCACCATCCTCACCGAATCAGCCAAGGGTATGGAAAGATCAGGCGCACACCTGGCCAATTTACCCTGCCTGGAAAACACACAGCCTTCTCGCTGCCAGACACAGCTGTGCTAAGAGAAAGGGGACTCTGTCGGCTTTGCTTCTGGCATTCGGGGAGGCGGTGCAGTTATACCAATGGCAAAACCCCTCCTGTTGCCATGTGGCAGGACTCTGGTAGGAGACTCTGTGGATATAGCTCTCCTGGCAAAGCTGCAATAGCAGCAGCCTTGTGATGTACGCAAGCCTCGAGACAGAAGATGGAAACAGCTCAAGGGCGAAGCATGAGGAATCAACACGGGTCAGCAGGACAGGCCCCGGTTTCCATATGTCAGCAGGAGGGATGCGAAGGAGAACAGTGAAGTGGCTTGGCTTTATGTCTGTAAGGAGCTTCTCCCGGGTATGGAAGAAAGCACCGATGTTTTTGTTTAAAGGCAGGCGTCATGGGCTGACCGGAGGTGGGAGATGATCTAGGAAGCCGGTGGATGGATGTAAAGGACCAAAAATGATGGGTCTTGAACAGGACCTTCGTAGCAGCGTTCTGGGTGGAATATGAGCGCAGCAAAACTCGGGCTTGTCGTGGCTAGAGGAAAGGGTGGCGGAGAGGTTAGGATGTGACATAACCATCAGTGAGAGAGTGCCATTTTCTGGATGAAGATATTACAATATATATTTATATAGCACAGTTTCAAAAAAAAAATTCAGAACCCAGTATTGAATATTATGTGCCGTCTTAAGAGAGAAACAGAGCAAGCTGGAAATGAGGGAAAGTTACCACCGTAACCTTCAGAAAATAAGGATGTGCGGTTTAGGGAAAGTGTGTCATTTCTAGGTTTTAAAATACCCACAGAATCACCAAAGGACTTTTTGTTATAGCTCCATGCAGTAATCCTGTTTTCTTTAGGAAAAAAGCTACATGTATATAAAAATGCAATGACATTTATAGACCTAGCTATGGGGTTTGCGGGTTTATTCAGCTTTAAATCCAAGCTGTATGGCTTTCTAGAACTAGCTGATGCATGTAACTGCGTTCAGTGCCACAGAAGCAGTTCAAAGCAAGATTCACATTTATAGGCCAAATAAGAAATTAGTCTTGGGGGAAGAGAGCATTGAAATAATCTGTGTAAATATCCTCTTGGAACGGAGGATATAAAGGGTGTAATGGAGGGAACAATCTCCTGTTATGTTCTGAGCTTAAAGATGGGGCCTCGCAGTCAAAAGAGAGCAGAGAGTCACGTCCCTAGAAGTAAATAGCTTCTCTTTAGCTGCATTAGCCGCAAAGCTCAGATAACGAATATAAAATATAACTGCAGGGAAACCTGCCCTTGGTTACCAATAAATGTTTGCCGAGCAGATGTGGCATTAACTACAGCTCCAGTGAAGTCTGCTGAAGTACAGGCCTGCTGCAAGGGGTTTCGCTACCCAAACCATCGCTTGGACCATGTCGACTCCTCTCCTCGCATCTTCCGCTGGCTCCTACCCCTCCGTCTCATGAAGCGCAAACTATTTGTCTGTACTTTCAAGGCCCTTCATAACCTCTTTGCCGCTGCGATGTCAAGCCCAGTTCCAGCCTCCATCCCCAGCTGATTACATTTCAAGCCGGCGCCTTTGTGCTTTCCCCTCTGCTGCCAGATGCTGGGGGAGGCCTCAACATAAAACAGCCTCCTTCCCCGCCTTTACGTCGATGCCTAAAAAACTTTGTCCTCTTGCCAGGAGCTGAAGCGGACCCGCTGTCACCACCGCCGACCACATTGACCCGACTGTCTCGCTGCTCCCTGGACCCTGCAATGCGTCTGTAGCCCTACGTGGTCGTTAGCCTCATGGGTAGACTGTGCGCCGAGTGGGGCAGAGACCATCTCTCTACTGCATGTTTGAGCACCGTGGACTCTTGATCCGCAACCTAGGAGCCCCGATCACAGACTACGGTAGGCAAGGAGGGTCTCTGGATTTATACCGGACTCACCAGCCATTTCGAGCAAACAGTGTATCGTACCCAATCTCTCGCCTTCAGCCGCAGTTCACGTGCGGCGCATCATTATGCAACGCTTGTGCGCCGCGCGTGTGGAGGAGGGGAATCCTTCCCGACGGCGGCACCTGACTGACTGATGCCCGGATGAATGACGTTTGATTGCCTTTCTCTGAGCCCGCATCACCACCATGTTCCTAACGGTCATCCAATCACCCAGCCTTTTTCGAAACACAACCACAGTAAATTAATCTATTGAGCGCACTTTATTCAGTACTTCTTACACTGGCAAAACTCCCAATGAAGTCATTAGCTTGCTGTGTCTCCACCATATGGTGTCATTCAATGCGGGCAATTTCTTTCCGTGCTGAAGTCTAACATTTGCTGGATTCAATTCACCTAGACAGCTTTCCCCGCTCAAACCCACTGACACAGCTTTCTGTCAAAAGAGGTCACACGCGGTTTTCTCTTTTGCCGCCCGACAAGAGAGCTACATCTCCGGCTTTGCACGTGCAAAATTAAACGGGCTATACGAAAAAGGAGGGGAGGGGAAAAAAAAGTCAAGGAAGCCCAGCGGAGGAAGTCTGGGCAGATTTCCATAGGAAGAAAGCTGGCACGTGAAATCTGCTTCAACCGGGACGCTGCCAACCTGCTCCTTTCCCCGTGTGAAAGGTAGGTCTCTTTTCTGGAATACTGACACGTTTTCTCCGGCCGTACCTCGACGGCTACCGGCGGTCGGTCGGCGCCAATTTTAAGACCTAATTAAAGAAAAGGCCTGACCTAACGGGCTCGTACGAGGAGGAGAAAGTCGGAGAGCTCCTCGGTCCGCTCTCCAGGCCTCCTCGAGGGACGCCGGTTTTCAAGTCGCGTCTCCGGCAGCTCGCGGTCGGGGGCAACAATCCCCGAATCCAACGCGGGGTGTTTCGCCGGGCTGGCAGATGCCTGCGACTCGGTGTTGCCGTCTGTGAAATGGACCCTGCTCCCGAACGCCGTGGCATGTTCCTGTCTCGGACGGACGCCGGTCACCCAGGCACCGTCGCCGCGGCGCGGAGGGAGCTTCTTCCAGCCGTGCAGTCCTCTCCATACCGGCCTTCCCCAGGCGCGGAGAGAAACGGCGCGTGCCGCCCCGTCGCCGCC